AGTATTGTCAGCGCTTGCCTTGCGGTTTTTGGTTTGTGATTTTTGAGCTGTTGTTGGGTTTACGTATTTTTACACCTGTATATTAAACTCAGAGGGTCTTGATTTTATTCGTGACTTAAGTACTCACCCGCTCGGCTCGTGCTATCACTGACTGATAATTTTAACAAACAGACAGTTAGGCGATTAATTAAAGGCTCCCTAAGTCCGTTTAACTAAACCCCGCTCCGCCAGACTAGCGACTAAACTAGTAATTATTCCTACATCTAAATCATCGACCCTAGACTTTAAACTGATTACGGTTTAGGGTTTAAATTTAGGGTTTAGTAATAAAATTTAGGGTTTTAGGGTTAATAGTGTAGTATTATTATTATTTATTTAGGGTTCAGGGTTTAAAGGCGGGTCCCTAAACTAAACCCAAAACGTCTTGCTTCCAAAGCAGGACGAAGTTCGGGTGCTGGGTTCCCAAGTCCCACTCACACCCCGAAGATTGAAAGTGCAAACGGCAGCGCCTGCTTCAGAGTTTCAGATTGACTTCAGCTGCTTATTCCAATACTACAAGGCACCCGTTTACTAAGTAACAATTATTATTGCTATGAATACTTGAAGAATAATTAATGAACGACTCTTGGGTTTTGCCCGCTCCCTCGCTATTACCAATTACCTCGTTGCCAAACCAACAGGACAGGGCCTAGTCTATAGCCAGTCACTAGTGACTAGGGATTGCTGTAAGCCTGAATCGGAACTACACAATAACCAAGCCACTAATTATTATTAAGCACTGCACCGTGTCCTGTCCAGGCCATCTGCACGCTGTCGAGCTGCTGCGCGCCGCCCATGCCGTACGCCGACAGCCAGGCAGTTGCTGCAGCGGATCTTTGGTTTGCCAGGGTTCCGGCTTTGCGGGAAGTCTCCAATTTCATTTGGACTATTCCCTTGCGAGTCTCAGGGTCGAGCTTCGTCGCATCCACACTGCGGAAAACCTTCCCCGGTCTTGTCGTCATTTGGCGTTCAAGCTCAGGGGTGGCATTCATTTCCTCGTGATCCTGCAGTGTCGTTCTGAGACGGGGCCACTGAGTGCCACGGTCCAAGCTCGAGCAATAGAAGTATCTCGTCCACCTCGGCGCACATCGTTAGCCCAGATTTAATGACACGCAAGCAGTCTGGTTGTCAAATTGTCTGTGGCCGGCCTCTACAGTGCTACAGCTTTGGTGCGTTATGGAGTCGTTGATTCTTTAGGGCACACAATGCTATTGATGCTACCAAGTTGTCTCGGGCGGACGCTCAGCCGAGGTGCTTGTTCATGGCAGTCGGTAGGTTGGACGATCGGCCCACTTTTGCCAAGTGGGCAAACAAGTCCTCGAGGTCGTATTTGGTGTTTGCAGGTCCGCTGAAGATCAAAGTTGCCTGCTCCCTGATCTCAGCGGACTGGCATGTCCAACCGCCGCGCTGGCAAACCAAGAACGTTTCCCGTGCCACCTGCAAACGGTTCCACGCCATGTCGTTCATGAGATTCAAGAGGCTTTCGTGAATCCCTGGCTCAAGCTTCTGGTTGGCGAGGAGCTTCTCGGTGTGCAGCACCGCTGCCCAAGTGCGGCGCTGTTCCTGCAGCGACTCGTTGGCGACAGCACTGTTTGCATGCAAGGCAGCCACGAGGGTGTTGGGTACACAGGTAGCAAATTGGATCTGAGACCATACTCTGGCCGACGCAATTTCGGTCAACAGAGACCAGAAATCATCCAGTTTGCGCCGCTCCGAGCAGAACCACTGCGTTGCAGCCCTTGGATCATCATCCGTCACGACGGGTGCTGATGGAGAGATTGTCGTGCCAAACCGTCGCAACGCCCGGGGGTCGTGGATCAGGTTCAGGGTTTTCATGACCGTCTTGTACCATGAACCCGTTGCACGCCGGGTCTGGAACTCCAAGGCAGACTCCTAGATAAGGATTATAGTCAGGGTTTTGTGTTACTGTTTAGGGGTGTAGGGTAGGCTCGACCATGCCCTAATTTTTAACCATTGCCAAGCACTATTACCCAAGTTTCCCTTTAACTTAATTTAATCCTCATAAGTTAGTTAGGACCTGGGGTGTACCATGGTGTACCGAGCAATCTTGAAACAACAGCAGCTAGACTGACTGACTCTACATCGGTAGCATTGATTCATTCAGCCGCCTGTGCTAGAGTTATGCCTTATGCTGGGGGATTTCGTGGGTTTAATTTCTCCCTTCAATGCAGAACTCTCCTATGTCAGTAACTAGTAGTGCCCAGCTCTGAACTCCGTGTAACAGTATGGTAAGACTAACTATGCATGATCCCTTGAGTTGTCATGTCGAGTCTAGGTCTTAGGATGAAAAAGAGAAGGCACATTATCACAGTCCGAGCGAAGCGGTCCTGGGTCTTTTGGTCCAACAAAGTTTGCTGGTATTCGGCCATCGTAGGCCGACTGGCAGTGCTCACCAACAACAGGTCATCCCGCAAGGACCTGTCCCTGTAGAAATGTGCACAGAGTTGCTGAGTGTTACCCAGGCTCTCACGGATTTTGTTCAGCTCTTGCTTACTCTGCGGCCGATTCCCTGGCTCGCCCTCCGCCGGAACCTCATCAAGTCCCTGAGCACCTCCTGCCAGCAGGTCCGGTGCCACGCCGTCGTCATCATCCTCCTGGCAGCAGGTATGTGCAACCTAGCTACACTTCGCGGTTTAGTCGAGGCCTTTTTAAATCTAAAACCGATTAGGGAACGGGGGCCTGCCAGTGAGCGTTCTTTGCTGTTCTGTTTTTGGAAGGTAGGGGTATTGATTATGAGGATTGCGTGCTGCGCCTACTGCGGACTGCTGAGTCACATGGGTTATCTCAACTCGAGACTTTTGACATGACCATAGTGATAGTGCCGAGCCATGATAGTCTAATAGTTCTGAGGGGTCCCGAGTGAGTCAGCAACACTAATGGGTCTGCGGCCGGATCAGTGTGGCATGCGGGTGTTCCGGGATGATGGGCGGGGTTGGTGTGGTTGCTGAACTATCAGATATTGCATTATTTTTTT